CAGTGTTTTTTAGGTAGTAGTGAACCAGTGTTTTTAGGTAGTAGTGAACCTGTGTTTTGTAGGTAGTAGTGAAGGTAGTAGTGAACCAGTGTTTTGTAGGTAGTATTAAACCAGTGTTTTGTAGGTAATAGTGAACCAGTGTTTTGTAGGTAGTAGTGAATCTGTGTTTTGTAGGTAGTAGTGAACGTAAGTGTCATGTCGTAATTTCACACCTTTGGTTCATGTTTAACGCTTACCCCTCTATGCCCAGGGCGGTTGCCAAGTGGGCAGCCGCCATAGTGCCCAAATCATCAGAGCTACGTACAGGATAACATCATATGCAAAGTGGTGGTTGGGGAGGGGGGGGGGGGCTTGTTTTAGGCTTTGACCTTGGCATAGCTTTTCCTTCACATCCCCCCCCTCCTTGGTAACTTCTTGCACAAATGCTGCACACCCTCCATCCTGTGCCAAGCATCAATGGGTTTTATTGTTGTAAGACAGCTACATTACTGCCTGGCCAGTCCACATTTCTGCCTGGGCAGTCCACATTTCTGCCTGGGCAGTCCACATTTCTGCCTGGGGAGTCCATAATTCATACTAATAACTTAAAACTTAGTCTCATATTTTGGATTAAGTACATATTCAGTATTTATTTAATTTTTTAAAATTCTAACTAGGCAATCACTGAGATGCCAGAGGTAAGACAGAGATGGAAGGAAGTCCATGGTAAATATCCTGACCAGAGCTCAGTGGATGCTATGTTCAAAGACTTTGTACCCATGCAAATTGCAGCGCTTTCACAATACTCTGAGCTGATCCCTGGGGCAGCTGAAGCCGTGAGAATCCTCAAGAAGGAATTTGGATGCCAGATCGGAGTGACCACCGGCTTCACCAGGAGCATGGTGGATGTCCTTCTAGAAGCGGCCAAGAAGCAGGGGTTGGTAAAACTTTTGTTCTGATACTCTTCAGGCCACTTGGACCCGAGTGGTCAAATTGTTATAAAATATGTTAAAATGCACTCAGTCCAATCGGGTTACGGGGGCCTTCAGTCCAATCGGGTTACGGGGGCCTTCAGTCCAATCGGGTTACGGGGGCCTTCAGTCCAATCGGGTTACGGGGGCCTTCAGTCCAACGGGGTCAGGATCCTTCAGTCCAACTAGATTATATGTATTCATTCCCACTGGACTACAGCCGGAAAGTAAAAAACCTGGATTACACTTAAGAATCTAATAAATGAATTTAAATATCTTTATACTTGAGAAGACTGACATAAGGTGCTTGCAAGGTCATGCTAAATACATACTGAGATAAAAAGGGTCAGGAAACGACTACAGCCAAGTTCATCGGTCTACTAATCAAAATATTTCTTAACTGTCTACTCAGGAGTTGTTTGCATATAGACTAACTTAAATTCTGGCGCATGAAAAAATGCACAAAGTTTTGATTTTCCTTGGCCTAATTTATTTATCAATAGTGAATTTGTTTTTTTTTTTTGTTTTTTTTGTTTGTTTTTTTTTTTTTAATAACTTATTTAGTAGAAGCTCTCATTTCATGACATGTTCAGTGCAAAAAAAGAGTTGATAAATTAAATGTATCCTCTGTGATCACTTTCAGATATGAGCCTGATGTGAATGTGGCAGGTGATGAGGTGATACACGGTGCTAGACCCAATCCATTCATGGTCTACCGTAACCTTGACCTCCTCAATGTGCCGAACATTCACTCTGTGGTCAAGGTAAAGTATATAGACTCCTGTCAATTAAAATAATTAAATGGGAGGGTGGGAGGGGGTGCAGGTGGGGGGGGGGTGAAGTTCAATAAATCCTCCATAATTAACCATACAGATACCTTTATAATATTCATTGTGGATTTATTTATGATATCCAGTGTGGATTTCTGTGTGATATCCAGTGTCGATTTTTGCATGCTGTCCAGTGTGGATTTCTGTGTCATATCCAGTGTGGATAACTATGATATACAGTGGATTTCTATATAATATCCAGTGTGGATTTTTGTATGATATCCAGCATGGATTTCTGTATGATAACCAGTGTTGACGCCCGGTCACAAGGGGTGGGCAGACCCTGAGTTTTGAAATGATATACCATACACTCGTAGATTTATTTATTGTGGCCTTTGAGTTCCATCTGGCAATTAGAAGGTGGCGGCGGCGTGTTCGACGAGTTTGGGCAACCATTACACGCCTTATCACTAAGACCACCGGCACCCAAGTAACGGCGCGACCTGGGCCACCGGAGCAAAAACAACGGGTTGCAAAAGAATTTCCTGAAAAACCTGGCCGTGTGTTTGGTTTAGGTTTTGTTTGTTTTCTCCCTACGAAAATCTAAAATAACAGAAAATGGTGGCAGCCTTTACTAAAGCCGCCCAAATGATGGCACATCAGCCAGATGGACACACAGTGGCATCACTTTATTTTACCCATCCTTTGCTCACACCAACTGCATCCCCTACAATAAATGTTGAGAGACAGTTTATTTTCTTTTGTGTTAACAGGGGGGGGGGGGAGAAATGTTTAGATTCAAGATGAGATGGTGAGGTCAGAGGGGAGCCATTTTATTATTGGAATAACTAATTACAAGCATGGTGTAGCCCTGTGGCTTACAGTTTAAATACACAAACAATGAAATGTAGGTCTGAGTACTACAGCTTTTATTCTTGAGGTACATGCCATTGAACAGTCAGTCAGATCTCCCACACATGCAGCCGACTCCACGACATTGCCGTTTTCACACACAATATCAATGTACACACTCAGTATCGGACACGGCTGACTACTCGCTCATGGCTCAGAAAGGCCTGGGTTTAAATCCCACCTGCCTTATGTAGCTGCTATGACGTCCGCGTCATGAGATGTTCACTGGTCAACCGTGGGAGAGGCATGCCCAGCTCAGTGGGTGTGAACACTCTTGGGGTAAACAATCGTGCCACAGGAGCGTGCTTCTCTGCCCCATAGGTGGCACCGTGTCACAGGTGGCACCCTGTCATAGGTGGCACCCTGCCACATATAAAATGTTACATAAATGTAGTTGCAAAAAGTGGCAAATCGTGAGACAGTTTGGGAGGTCAAGGGTGGTGCATTGTTGTAAACATTTCAGCCAACTTTTAGTTTACTTAACCAGGAAAAATTAAGGTGCTTTTTTGTATCAGACACTTGTTTTTAATGACCAAACCTGCAGTTCAATATCTTGCTGTACAGACATAGTCCAAGCCATTTCTTCCTTTTTACAGGTTGACGACACCGTGTCTGGTGTGGGAGAGGCCCAGTCTGCTGGGTGCTGGGGTGTCGGTGTGGCCCGCCACAGCAACTACATGGACATCAACACTCTGGAGGAGGATGAGCAGCTCCCCAAGGAAGAGATTCAGAGACGTCTGGCCAAGTCCCGGGACATCCTGGTCAAATCTGGCGCACACTACGTCATCGACACGATCGCGGAGCTGCCCCGTGTTGTTGAGGATATTAATGCTCGTCTAGCCAGAGGTGAAAGGCCTTAGGTATTTTAAATTTTTTTTTTTCTGATCACAGGAGCAGCGGGGGGGCTGTTGGGCAAAAAGTTAAGCAGGGATTTTTTTCAAAATTGTTATTTGTATTTGAAATCCAAGGTCCACACTCGATGCAACATCAGAATGTTTTATTCAAACTAGAGAGACATTTAATTTATAAACCTGACTGAAAAAGCAAATGAAAAGCAAATATTTTATAAGATTTTCCATTATTTTTTTTTTTTAAATTTAGTGACTGCATTGTTAGTGGTCTATAATTTGTTTGTGTTAATTGTACTTGTTATGAAATTATGTTATAACTTCACACTTTGCTGCAAAGACATCTAACTAAAGCTGTGGAAGGTCTGAATAATTATACTCAACTGTTTTTTTGTTGTTGTTTGTTTGTTCTATAAGTTGAAATATTTATGTCATTGTCATATGTATGAATTCAAAGAAGTTGTGAAGAATGCATTGTATACTTGGTGAATTTATGAATTTTTTTTCTATCCAGTAATTTTAAAAAAAAAATTTACCATAAATATTATTTGTTCCTACCTCTCAAGTCCTAATTTAAAAATTGTTATAAACATGCTCCTGTTATTTTGTTAGTAATGTTCAGCTATAATGTAATTATAAAGATTGAGTTAAAATGTAAGGTATTGAAGAAATCTGTTCAGCTTTAGTAATGGCCAATATCAACTATGAAGAAATTGTTCAGTACACAGAATAGATGTGACTTTTAATAACAACATAATTGAACATTATACAATTTTCAATCCAATCAATAAATGAATTTATGTCATGGCAAAAATCAAACTGAGAAACAAAATGATTTCATATATAACTTGATGTGGGCATTAGCTTTGTATGTAACAACCAGAACTCATTTGTCTCAAATACCCTTCTTGTATTTTTTTAATTATTAAGGGTATTAATTTTTTTTCAAGGAATGTACTTGTGAAGGGACAATCTCCTTTAAACATGATATTGAATATTTAAGAATGTGTTCACATTAACGCATTTGTTGTGGAAGAGTGAAATCTGCTCACTGATATTTTCTTTCATATTTCTCTGTGTGTGATTTGATATTATTACCCGACTGTTTACTCATGTTGTTTTATGTTTGATCCATATTTTGTATGTTGAGACTGCTATAAAAATAGAAGTACATTCCTAAACTAACATAGAAGAAAAAGTATTTTAGAGATGCAATTTGTTGGGGGGGGGGGGGGGGGGTTTTGGTATTGAGAGGATATTTTTTTTTTTTTTTTTTTTTTTTTGTAAGGCCGTGATTATAAACTTAAACATAATATGAATGTACTCTAAAATAAATATTATTCCAACAATTATTGTATTTTTTAGTGAGAGGTTGGTGTCTTGACGTGAGATGAAAGCTTATACATTTGTGACTTTAATCAAGTAATGCCGCACACGCAATTCAGCTGCCTGTGAGAGTGACACTTATTTTATTCTTAGACATTAAAAAGCTATTTACAAATTTTATTCTTGAAGTGTAGACATTAAAAAGCTATTTACAAGAATATAACAACAAAAAACTTACTGAAACAGCTTTGTTTTAGCAAATACAATGTTTAATAAACACAAATGCTGCATTTTCCACATTCAACACATGTCACTTAATCTCAATAGCACATTAGATTGATAGGAAACACAGTAAAAATAATCTTAAAGTGTTTCCCTTTCCCATTTTGTTTTTTGGGGGGCAAAAGTCCGTGCAGAGATGTGCTGCTTCTTTTAAGGTGCATACAGGAGGAAAAACACATTTTTAAAACTGGATACTATAAATTATGTCCCCTTTCATAACTGGTTTAAAACATACAAATGAATAATCTTTCCTCTTATCACTATCATCCTTATCCATTATTTTAACAAATTACCAGGGGGGGGGGTTTGGTGTTAAAATTGAATTTCTTGGAACATGATACAAAATTGTTTGAAACATTGATGAATGAATGGAAGTGATGAATTGGCTATACAAATTCGTAACATTTAAATAGCTAGGTAACTATTATAGAAACTAGCCAATCAAAATGTTGACCATCTAATTATCCCACTCATCAGCAGCCACACAGAAGTCTTTCTTCTTTTCATGAGATGGATTAATGGCCACTGATGAAAGAAAAAAACAACATTAATTAAAACATTCCTCAACATCTAATGAAATAATCATGCTAGAAAAACATGTTTAAAAAATATATATGTATTATTAGTATATAGGACCTATATATTAAAATTTTAAATCTATCTTTAATTTAATCAAACTTGAGGTTATTTTCTATCATTGCTATCAATTACAAGTAAAACAGAAGCATAATATGATTCATTGAGAAAAATATCTTATACATTTTGTTATCTCTAATCTAAAACTATTTTATTGCATGATTAATAGACCTGTTACAACTTTCAAATCCTGTGCAGTTTATTTAATTAATTAGTGAAAATTTGCAAATGTGTGTCAACATAGTTACAACAGTTGCTATCGGTGGAAACACTTACCCCACAAACAACCATATGTGTGTCAACATAGTTATAACAGTTGCTGTCAGTGGAAACACTTACCCCACAAAGAACCACCAACTACAGGACAGAAACTGTGAATTTTTGTCTCCACTGGTGAGTAGAACAACACACTTCCCTGGATATAGATATAACCATTAGTTAACTTGACTAGATACAGATGTAACCATTTAACTTCGCTGGATATAGATATAATCATTTGTTCACTTCCCTAGATATAGATATAACCATATGTTAAATTAACCTGGATATGCCGATAACCATTTGTTAACTTCACTCGATATAATGACCATTTGTTAATTTCCTTAGATATAGATATATCTATTTGTTAACCTCACTGGATATAGATATTACCATTTGTTCACTTCCCTGGATATAGATATACCCATTTTTTAACATCCCAGGATATAACCATTTGTTAACTTCACTGGATATAATAACCAATTGTTAATTTACCTGGATATAGATATAACCATTTGTTCACTTCCCTCGATATAATAACCAATTGTTAATTTCCCTGGATATAGATATAACCATTTTTTAAATACACTGGATATAGATAAAACTATTTTTTAACTTCCCTGGATAGAACCATTTGTTCACTTCCCTGGATATAGATTTTACCACTTGCTTTTAACAAAAAAATTTATTTCAAGGCCATGCTCTCAGAACTATCTTGCAAGCTAATAAGCCAACACTTGTTTTATTTATTATATACACGTTTTCTTAAAGCAGCTGTTGTACATGAGCAACAAACTTAAAAAATGTTCATGTAATGGAATCGGCTGTAAGAATAATATATAGGCTAATATAGGCATATCTTGGTTAAACAAGCACATTTTACCTTTTCAGGATGGAGAGTGATACCCTGGTCTGTAAAGACAACTTCACCGCCCTTCTTTACATCATTCAGCTGAAATTCATTATACACAAGAACATTTTGGATCATGGAATGCCATTTTAGGTAGTATTTTGTGGTTGTATGCCAAGAGTTAAGAATATTTCCCATCCCATACATTTGGCGATTTAAAAAAAAAACAGCAGCTTTTCATGACCACCTTTAAGGAATTAGTGTACTTGGGTAAATACTAAATATTCTACAATCAAGCTGTTTGAAAGGAAATATTGACAAAAAAATTTTTCTAAGTAATTTATAAGAAAATCATGGAGTTTTTGTTTAACTTACAAACGTGAAATATGGTGCAACTTCACTGATTTTCCCAAGATTGTATTCACGAACCTGAAAACATAACAATTGATACACGTGGACATTTACAAACAAACACACAAAAATGGATTTGCACACTATCCAGTTGATATATATTAAAGTTAATGACCTCTGTCCAGTCAATATATATTAATGTTAATGATGACTATCCAGTTGATATACATTAATGTTAATGATGATTATTCAGTTGTTATATGCCAATGTTAATGATCACAATCAAGTTGATATACACCACTGTCAATGACCCTTGACCCCACTTAAGATGAGAACAATAAGTGCTAGTTTTCCAGATGTTATATTACTTCTGTGCAATGCTAAGTTACATTAACAACAACAAAAGGAACAATGAAATGACCATTTAATTTTTTTTTTTCTTAAATAATTTTTCAACCTCTTAAGGTTTATAAATTTAAGTCCTGTAAAAAAATTATCTAACTTTTATTGGGTGACATAACTTTAATTCAATAAAGAAAAATCTTTTCTATTTTTTATTTAGCTAAGAAAAACAAATTTTTTTCCATCAAATTTTAAACTTCAAAAAGGGTAAACTCACCAGACGAAGCTTCTCTTTGTGATTTTCAAGGTGCATTCCTTCCAAACCAACATTGATAATCTAGTGAAGAGAAACATTTACATGAAGATTCATATCTAAATTCATTTAAAATACATCATATAAGGATTTTATGTATGTCCACATAACTGATCCTAAAACCTGAGTTCTAAATACCAATTAGACAAGTTTTCAGATACAACATCATGACTAACCTGCTTCTGGCCCCACCAACTCAGCTGTCTCTGATCAGCCAGAGCAAGGAAGCTCAGATATCTGTGCAGCCTGTTGACATGCCACCTGGCCTGGTTCACCCTCAGTTTGACTGGGTCCAATTTTAAGCTGGAACAGAAACATGATTCAATCCATAAGATAACAAATGTTTACCTTCTCCACAGCACTGGTCTATACACAAACATGAGTCGGCAGCATACCAGCTTTCCTCCCTCTAAAATATTCATGTGGCCTGAATACATTTTCGGTTTCTGTAATGCAAACCCCACAGTGGCAGTAATTAAGAAAAAGGTGAACAGAGGTGTCATCATCTTAAGCAGCCCCATCTTTGCCACTCCTTTGCCGCGCCTCCCACCATAGTATGTTTATTTGGCAGCTAGCTGTCTCTAGCAAGTGACAAATTGGTCTGGGTCATGGAAAGTGGGCCATGGAAAGTGGGCCATGGTCTGTGGGCCATTGAGCTGTGGGCCATTTGGCTGTGGGCCATTGGACCGAGCCATTGAGCTGTGGGTTATTGGGCTAGGCCATGGAAAGTGGGCCATTTGGCTGAGCCATTGAGCTGTGGGTCATTGGGCTGGCCCATGAATCAGAGCTCATATCAAGATCACCCACAACATTACCCCACAAGTATTACCGATGAAGGCAAACACCTTGAATTCTCTCCCGACCATGAATCATATAGGAAAAAGCTCCCTATAATGACCATAAAAGTCTGAATGACTGCTCCCTACAAAGAGCAGATACATTTTTTCTTTGGCAGAGTGCACCTAGCTTGTGCCATATATCTGGCAGCTGTATTTATGGTCCCTAGCCTGCTCCTACCTTTGAAAAAGTTCAACCACAGCCCAAACTGTGATGAAACTAGACCTATATCCCCCCCCCCCCCCCCCCCCCCCCCCCCCCCACCCACCAATCCTCCAACCACTTATCATTAAAAATGATTCAGTGTATTCATACAAAAGTTCAATCCCCTCGAACAGAATACAGGAATCAAAATGAAACAATTACCATTTTAACTTTAAACAGATTATACCACCTGCCCTAAAATGAAAAATACAGTGTAACGTGTTCAACATAGTACACTGTCTAACGTGCAGCCTACCTCAATGTAGGAGGGTGAAACTTCTCTTCCTTCTCCCATGCGTTGTCTGACAACTGTGCACAATACAAGAGTAAATGTTAACTTTGATTCTATCAGACATGGATCTGTAACTCTTTGAAAACATTATTTGTTTTTTATCATCATGTACCTGAAAGGTAATCAACCTCAGGCCATTTCTAATAACAATGGTATCTATAGGGCAGTTCTACGCACAGTTCAGTTTTGCACTGCATCGTTGTATTATACACATAAGTGGTTCAATATAAATGGCTGTGTTGGTTTAAATATGCAATAATTGTGGTTTACTCATTTTAATGTTATATTCTGGTATCAATATCATTCTCTCCTTCAGGACACTAAACGTCCCCCAACTTACAACATTGTAAGCATAATTCTTCAGATGTGTGGCAGTAGTGTTGCGAAGGACATCATGAAACAAAGCGATATAAGGCTTGCGGCGAATGAGTTCCTTCTTGAAGTGCCAATATCCATATCGAAGGAGCGTACATTTTTTTCTTGAAACCTGTTAATGTTAAATTTTGTAACAATTTCGAAGAAAGTTTGAACAGGAAAAAAAGCAATGACAAAAGCGTCTAACAAAGAGAGTGTGGCACAAAATTGGGAATATATGTTTGCTTAGTTATTTCTCATTCGATACTGTCCATATAACGAAACAAAACACAATACTAATTTTTAATCATATGATTGTACAAATTGAGCTTATGAAAAGGTCCAGTAATTTATAGAAAATATATCAACATATTCAACATTTCAATGGACACTTGAGTTATGACTCTCAAATGCTCTACAAAACTTCAAAAGATCTCTCTGAATAACTGTTATTTCTTTAGAACATATTATAAATTAATGTGGTAGCTGAGCCATTAAGTTAAAATCTCTCAATTGTTTTTTCCAGTTTTCAACATTAAATAGCTATTTCAGTATAATTCCAGCCAATATACATGTTCCTCTGCACATTGTTCAAAATTATCACAGCGTCTTTATTTGATGTGGTGTCCCACCTTCTGTTTCCTTTGACGGGCACAAAGTCGTTCAAATTTTGACATTTTACGAGATGGAGCCTTCTTGCTTGTGTCTTCTCCCTTCTCTTCTAGGGCAGCCAGTTTGCTTTTAAAAAACCTTAGATTGCTGAGAGCTATGCCATTGGATGCATCTGCAAAATAAATTATCAATTATAATATCTAGAACAGTCATAACAACTTTTTCCTTTACGTGAAATAAAAAAAAACCCTACAATACTTATAAACAAGAATGTTGATTTATTTAACTTTGAACATCCTCACTTACCAAGTTTTAATACTGCCTCCGTCAACTTCAGTGCCTCGGAAATATCTTTCATCTGAACAAAAGCATAAGGGGGAAATGATTTATTTAGTAGCCCAAATTATTCTTACATCACAATAGGGATATGTCTATATTGCCTTAGTCCAAGATAGAAAGAAAAATATTCTTGTAAAAAAAAAATAAAAAAATAGTTAGTGCTTCATTCACATTCCCATAGAGTTTCCACCAATTTATTTTCTGGATCTCAACAAAGTAATATCGGCATAAATTCCAATCACTAATTATATAAATCTTTAAGTGGTAGTGATTGGGTGGGGTCCCTTTAAATTAAAATCAGATTATTTCCCAATTTTATTCACTAGTTTTTGAAATTGATAAAACATTTTTTTTCCTTTATTTTCATCCTTAAAATTTTTAATTTCTTTAAGCTAATGACTTACATGGTAGTTTGCAGAAGCCATCAAGTTCAAAACATCTGTCAGTTTGAAGCTTAGTTCTTCCCTCTGGGAGGGGTTGTACTTAGCTAGCAGATTATAAATATGCTGTAGCCAAACTAGTGCAGTTTCCATGTCATCTTTGTCATTAAGGACCTGACGATAATAATATTTAATTTATTCAATGATGCAATTTCCAAAACTAATCTGCTAAGTGTTTTTTTTTTAAATGGAAGGAAATCATTCTTTTTTATCCCTGTTTAAAATAAAAAGCTTAAATGGGTTAGAGACACTGGTATCATGCAGTTAAAAAATGGAAATTGAATGTTCTAAAAAGAGTTTTATAATATTAAATGATAGTCAAAGGTACAATGTTATTTTTATATTGATGAATGTAAAACAGTTCCATATTTGAATTAAGACACTATAAATGATTGCAAACGATTTGAAATATTTTTGAATTAAAAAATAATTTTAGCTATTTTAGAGCCTGGTTTGACATTATCGATGTTTCAAAATATATCATTATAAGAATTTAAAATAAATTTAAAAATGCCCAACTGTCCTACTTTTAGGACACAACCTTCAATACATCATATAACTGTATAAACTGCATTTAGAATGGAATAGATTCTACCACTGTAACCCAACCTTGACAATTTGAAACTCTTCTTCGATATTCAGAGGTTTCACTGACACGCCATCTCCGATTCTCCCTTTTGCAATGTCTTGTGGATTTAATTTGTAAATTTTCTGTAATGTTGCAATGTATCCCACAACCCTCTCCAGCTCAAGCCTCCCTGGGAGATTATCTTGGAGATAATGAAGTCTGCCCACCATGGAGGGGAGGTTCCCTAGACAGAGGCAATCATAAATACATGTAGTTAATAAAAAATTTAAATGATGTATTCAAAATTATTTTTTTTTGTAAACTTTAAATTACCTGACTTATACTACTTATAGGGCATATATATATATACACAACATTGAACTTCATGATTCATAGCATCACATGTTCTGTTTTAAATTAAACAAAGACAGCATAATACAATTATCAAGTATTTGTTTTTTTTAAATCAAGAAAAAAAAAAAGGAATTTGTTCACTAACCGTGATATTTGAATATATTACTATAAACATAACTTATAGGAAGCTTTTAAGAAATCAAGAATCCTCACAGTGTCTACATGGCTTTGTCTGCAGCAGTAAGTCAAGTCCCTGTCTCCAGCCATCATCAAGGCGTCGAAGCAAGTGGTACATGTTGACCGGGTTCCACAGAAACGCCTCAAGGTCTGGCCCAGCCAGTTGGTGGACCATTTTAGCCTCATCAATGATACTGGTAACATTTTTAAAAAAATATTGAAGTATATTTTGTGATTTTCAGTATTTATAAAAGGTTCATTTCCATGTTGCACACATAAGTTATAAATATTTCTGTCTCAAAGTCAGAAATGTCAAAAGCTTTGGTTGCTCAGGGTCTGACTGTTCAGATTTAAACCGATCTCTAGATTTTGCCTGATGAATCTGCTGGGGGGGGGGGGGGTACAGCAACTGAAAGGTTTGACATGTGTCAAAAGTTTTTCTAATTGACACAAAGAGCCCACTTTTACAGAAGCCTACTTCTAAGGAATAAGTAGATCAGCTGTATGAAATCAATCTTAATTTTCAAGCCAGGTCGGATGTCTGCCATACATCCTCGCATAACTCAAGGGACTGTCCTGCAGAAATTCTAAAAGGGAGCGGGCGTTCCTGTTGTGGACACACAAACAAATAACATGCAGTTCCCATGCGTTACTGCGGCACTCGAGCCTAGCGTGTTTCCCCGTAGCCAGGTTGGGGTGGGGGGGTATCTTTCTTTAACAATTATACTTATACTTCCTTCAAGTCCACGCTAGTCATCCAAGTTTTAAAGTTGTCCTACCGCTTGGAAACAAGTGACCGAATCTGCAACTTGAACTAAAAACCCAGCAATTACGATAAGATCAGAAGTTTAAGGTTTAAATTTAGTTATTTACCCTTTAAACTGTGTGAGATTCGGCATGTGCTCCAAATGTGTTTCCTCATCTTCCTCTTCATCAGCACCAAAATAATCCTCCCTTAACAATACGTCAGCGTTACTCAGTGCGTTTTCTTCGATGACGTAGTAGTGCTCCAAATTCACGTCTGACATGAACCGTTCGTCCTTGATGTAGTGTCCACCATTTTGATTCACCAAATATGCCAAACAGAAAAGAATCGTAGCTACCAGGTTGACCATGATATTCATTAATTGTTCTTTACTATTTAACAGTCATAAATTTTTTAAAATCCCTATTTGTGGAGTTACGAGAAGAATCTCTTTAAATGAACGTGCGGATTGAATAGATTAACGTTGGTTTTTTTTTATCTATGATATGTGATATATATTATGATATATTAATGACATATATATACATATATATATATATAGGCCTATATATATATATATATATATATATATATATATATATATATATATATATCTTTTTATTTTATTTTTTTTATATATAATATGTGATATATATATTAATATATTTATAATATATATATATATATATATATATATATATATATATATATATATATATATATATATATATATATATATATATATATATATCTTTTTATTTTACTAATAGTAGTTTTACATCTAAAGTAGGTATATTTTAGACTTGTCCGATAATCTTATGATGATGACACAGAACACAGAGTAGCCTACTTATTACTTTTTAAAATAAATGACGCTTCTCGTAACTTTAATACATTCGATTGAAAATTAGCATTGCCCTTATCATTAACACTAAAAAGATTCACTGGTAAAACTTTGATTTTAACAAAACACACAACATATATTTTACATATGATTAAGGCTACGCTTTAAAACACATGTATATTGACTTAAAGCATACCACGAACACAGTCATAGTTTTAAAAAAAATCATTCAAAGGAATTGTGCCTCGCACACGTGCAAACAAAAACTCATGGGCGTACACTCGAAGTATGTAGCAACATAAGTTGTGCTTTTCGAGGGGTCATAACATGTCTCTTTGAGTACTGTTAAAAAAGAAGAAGAAAAAAAGGACACGCCAATGACTGCTCCACGTATGATCCGCCAACCGCCTTTGGTGACATGTTGTGAGGTGGGGCGGGTCCAGTGAGACACTTGAAGGTGAACGCGCAAGGAAATCGGCGAAGCTGCGGCAGATGTAAGCATTTCGATTTAAGATTACCGGTAGGAATTGTAACCATAAACGAAACGTCATGTGGCCGTGCTTCTGATGGCTGTGGCCACCAGTGTCGGACGCAGGGATCAGATAGTAGCGAAATAGAGAAGACAGGGATCTGAGGGTGGTGAGATATTAGGAGACAGGGATGAGAGAGAAGTGTTCTGGCCGATGTGTTGACTTCTGATGGCTGTGGCCACCAGTGTCGGACGCAGGGATCAGATAGTAGCGAAATAGAGAAGACAGGGATCTGAGGGTGGTGAGATATTAGGAGACAGGGATGAGAGAGAAGTGTTCTGGCCGATGTGTTGACTCTAGTTTTTGTTCACCACCAGCCGTGGCATTCAACCGTAACTCTACCCCCCAGAGGCGTAGCGTGGTGGGGGCAGGGGGGGACAGATGTCCCCGGGCGCCAGCTAGTTAGGGGCGCGAAAATGTGCTTTAATATTATTTTATTGATGAAAATAATGGGTTTGAGAGTTGAAAAAAAGAAAAAGGGGCGCTAAAAATGGATTTTGTCCCCGGGTGCCAAACACCCTCGCTACGCCACTCCCCCCCCCCAACCTTCTGTAATTATTTTTGGGGGGTTTTGATATGACGTCACCATTTAAATGTGTAGCGCTCTATTATGCCATAACCTACTCCTCCCTTGATTGGGAAAATGTTGTTTGCGTACAAATATGCTATAGAAATGTTATCGGTAGATGCAATTTCTAGAATTTCTCTTCCATAGGGCTCTAACGCCCTCCCTATAGGCCTACTATAAATAAACCGACAGCTCTCCCAGCAGGGAGAGTCTGCTAGATTTTCTAGACACGAGACAATTTATGAGACCTACCACACTTACTTACTAGAGTTTACTCGTTGTTTGTGTGTGGGTGTATTAAAAAAAAAATTACTTTTCGAGGATTATACTTTTCACTAGCTGAGCTTTATGTTAATGTATTTTTTTTATTTCTGTATATTTAGTTTTGTAATTTTTATATAACCTTAATAGTATAATTAAATTCAATATTGTCAACATCCCTAGCTTTTTCATTTCTTTGTATGCTGCTTTTCAGTCCTTCGTTACGTATTTTTCACCGAACGAGCCAAATCTTAATACTGATAAAATGTGCAAAACTGTTTAAATTTAACGGTACATAACAGTAGTGGAATAGGAGGCATGGGGTCAGAGAGTCATGAGATCGGAGACAGGGATCAGAGAGTATTGAGAAAGGGGACATGCATCAGAGAGTAATGAGATAGGAGAAAGGGGGTCAGAGAGTAATGAGATAGGAGAAAGGGGGTCAGAGAGTAATGAGATAGGAGAAAGGGGTCAGAGAGTAATGAGAAGGGAGACAGAGGTCAGAGAGTAATGAGATAAGGGACAGGGATCAGAGAGTAATGAGATAGGAGACAGGGATCAGAGTAACGCGATAAGAGACATGGATCAGAGTAACGAGATAAGAAGATCAGAGAGTGATGAGATAGGAGAAAGGGGTCAGAGAGTGGTGAGATAAGAGTCAGGGATGAGAGTAACGAGATAAGAGTCTTTGATTATCTGCAACTAAGTAAGGACGCGTTTGCTACGTGTTTTTTTCCAGGGTCAGGCTGCAAGGGGAGGGGGGGGGGCTCGAATATTTAACGGGCCCTAAGTTGTGATATGGAAAATAACTAAACTATCAACTTTAAGTGCAGCGGGCATCAAATCTAAAAGTGTCAGCGGGGGGAGGGGGGGGACACCCTCGAAAAATGATTGATACACCTCTGAACGACGATTGCATCTTTAAGTTTGAGAAATGTTTAGTGACTGAAAAGATTGACTATATTAACAAATAACAAAATATTTAACGGGCCCTAAGTTGTGATATGGAAAATAACTAAACTATCAACTTTAAGTGCAGCGGGCATCAAATCTAAAAGTGTCAGCGGGGGGAGGGGGGGGGACACCCTCGAAAAATGATTGATACACCTCTGAACGACGATTGCATCTTTAAGTTTGAGAAATGTTTAGTGACTGAAAAGATTGACTATATTAACAAATAACAAACAATATTTACAATTGTACGTGCACGTGCTAACGAACGGATTCCAAAAGTATTTTTTTCTTCTTCAAATCTTTCAATTGTAAATTTTCTGGTGTTACAAAGTGGGTGCGGGTATTGCAAGGGGTCTCAAAATTGGAATAGCTTCTCGTAAGTTAAATTCGGCCCTGATCTCAATCGTCGAAAGGGGCATGGGTCAGTCCAGCGGCAGACAGTTTGTTAAATTTTGTTTTATCAAGCCGACTGTGAAAAATTTCAAAATAGAAATTTAAAAAATACAAAATTCAAAACCTTCCAAAGTCCAAATAAATCTTACAAGTTGACCAATTCGGTTGGATCAGTCGAGAGTTTGGGGTCCCCCTTATTGCAACAGAAGTTCCACCAATTTATCATTATTTATTTATTTTTTTTACACGAACAAATAACGTGGCTCTAAAAAGACTTTTAAATATTTTTTTTGGTAGTATTTCACCAGGAATGTTGGCCACCTTCAAGGAACCAGTGAGTGTGGTTTCTACAAGTGTACCACACTGCAGAGATTTTTCACACATGAACGTGTTGCGAAGATTTACTTTCTTTAACTTGGTTATAAACGCCTGAAGATTTTCTACCAGTCGACAAAAAAAAAAGGGGGGGGGGAAGGGGAATATATCTACATATAGGCGTCAACAATGTGACCTCACAGGTCTATCATCAAGCTCAATACGTTGTTGACACATAAATAGGGCATCTTTATTCTTACATTGGGTATAATATTGTTCAGTGGCCCGAGTCGGAAATGACCAGCAAAGTCACACATATTAGACATACTTTGATTTGCATAATTTCCATTCAGGCCTGTGTACAAAATATGACCTACTTCTATGATTATTTGATAAGATTGGCCTCCCATTATAATTAATATTAGTGTGACGTAATTTGTAAACAATAGAATCTTCTTGAATAAGTTTATTCTCACTCGATTTCAATGGGAATTTCACTGTACAAGAGATGCTACAAGCACAGTGGTCTCAAGCAGGCGGGTGATGGTCCGAGCCTTTGGGGGATATCCGAGAACTTCTGCTCACAGAAGAGGATTAAATGATAAAGGTTATCAATGGCTGTTTGGCTGATCGGATCGATTGGGGAGCACAGGCTTGCGGGTGGTCAACACGGGAAGGCTTCAGACGACCGAACGTTGACGTCAGAACACACGTGGGATATGAGACGAAAACAAGGATAAATGGCACGATGGATTCGTTTAAATTAAAATTTTGCGACAGATTAAGTGCGCAATCACAGGATATCTAGACTCTATGTCAGAGATGAAAGGTTCACTTACAGGTTTATCTATGTCAAAGATGAAAAGTTCACTTAAAGGATATCTATGTCAAAGATGAAAGGTTCGCTTACAGCAGCGGTTCTCAGCCTGTGGGTCGTGACCCCTTAGGGGGTCGCACGACCCTTTCCCAGGGGTCACCTACGACCATCTGAAAACAGATATACTCTACAGTTATGAAGTCGCAACGAAAATAATTGTATGGCTGGGGTGGCCACAACATGACGAACTGTATTAAAGGGTCGCGGCATTGGGAAGGTTGAGAACCACTGGCTTACAGGATATCTGTGTCAAAGATGAAAAGTTCACTTAAAGGATATCTATGTCAAAGATAAAAGGTTCCCTTACAGGATATCTATATCAAAGAGGAAAGGTTCAATTACAGGATATTTATATCAAAGATGAAAAATTCACCTACAGGATATCTATGAAAGGTTCACTTACAGGATATCCCTGTCAAAGATGAAAAGTTTACTTACAGGATATCTATGTCAAAGATGAAAGATTCACTTACAGAATTTCTATGTCAAAGATGAAAGGTTCACTCACAGGATATCTACGTCAAAAATGAAAGGTTTAATTACAGGATATCTATGACAAAGGCGAAAAAGTCACTTAGATGACAACGCATCTACAAGGGAATTTCAAGGAAGATAATATTTCAACAGGACAACATTTGCATGGAGGCTATGCTGTACTTCATTCACTCCTTCAATAATAATAATAACACTCAAAATAATTATGCAGTTGGACATTTTTTATTAAAAATTTTCCCCAAAATATATTCCATGATGACATCATGTATGTCTTGTCAACATACGTTACATAAACCATTTAACATTTATCATATATGCCATGGTATCATACATCATATAAGCCATGGTAAGATGTATTATATTATTATATTATATCGCCATCATTATGTAAAAAAGAAAGTTGAGATTATTTTAATGTCATACCTAAAGGAAAGGCACACAAAAAAAAAAATATTTATAGAATAATAATAATAATAATAATAATAATAAAGTTCATTTCAAAAACACGCTTCATCCCCAAAGGCTCGAAGCGCGGTACAAAGTCAACAAAAAACAAATCTATAATTTACCACATTTAAAACAAACGCAACACTACAAAAACTAATTACAAGCATACAATGGCAAAGTCTTTCTAGCCATTTCAACCCGGAGCAACACAGCCATTATGCATTAACTGGAAAATAAGGTAGACAATCACCCCAGAAGGTGTTTGCGAAATAGATGTGTCTTTAGATCGGTTTTAAAGGAC